CTATACAAACCGCACCCTTTTTTGAGTGACATGTTGTGAACTTGAAATTCCAAACCACTCAGGCCTTTTTTTTTTTTTAAAAAAAAAAATTGATTTGTAACCTTAAGAAGTTTCAAACTCATTTATCAATAGTAAAAAAAAAAAAGCGCTAGATCATATATTTTAGTTCCAAACTTATAGTATTAGAGGGAGAATATAAAATACAAAAAATGAGACATGGATGTAAACTATGAAAATGAGAAATGCCTTTTAAAAATATTTACTAATTGGCAAAAAAAAAACTTACATTTGCATCACTAAGTAGAATATAAGAATATAGACAACTTTTAAACAAGGAAGTCATCGATGATTTCCCTTTGTTATTGAGAACAAAAGTACTTTTATACAATGACTCCACCATCTCTAAGGACTTTTAAGTTGCCTTTCAATGAAAGTTCACAAGGGAACTCAGGTCTGTCAAGTATTGGGAGATGTCTGTGATTGGAATGGGGACAATATCTTTACTTATGTAGGACCAATTGGAGAAGCTACTGCAAATGAAACTAGATTGCTTGCTCTTCTCCAGGGTCAAAATTATTGAAAGCAAAAATCAGGGCAGTTTTTGCATGATTGAGGGTGATCTGTATGATTGAGGGTGATCTGTTGAATGTCATCTAATGGTGTAAGAGAGAGTTATGAGTTTTATGGAAGCTAGTTTCTTTTTGGTTGTAAATTATTGATTTTATTAAAGTTTTGACGATATCTTTCATCCATGTTTTTAGGGTTCATAATATTCATAATAAAGAGGTACTTTTAAACAAAGAACTCGCAAATAGAAAGAAATTTTTTGGTGCAACCAAGCCCACTTCTGTTGCTATGCAGGCGGGAGATCTACACCGTCCACCAAAACAAAAGTCTCTATAGTAATAGTCCTCCAAAGAAAAAGTAAAAATCAACACTTCAAATTTTTTTTTTTTAAAAAAGAGAAAAATAACTCTTTATCCCTTATTTTTAACTTCGATATCTCATGAGACCTAAATATTGAAAATATTATTTGTAAGCAAAATATCTTAATCTTTTCTATCTTATAACCCTCTGGATCCTTTTGACCAAAATTTTTGACTCAAATAAATACTAAAATGATACCCAATTCAAACTCCATCACTCTCTCTCTCCACTTCTCAGTGAGTTTACCTGTCAAGGGGTTTAGCTTGTGTTCGAACAAGAGCATACCTTCTTACGTGTGTGACAGAGATAAAGTTTTAGAGAGAGAGATGAAGTTTGGGTTTTAGAGAGAGATAGAGTTTGAGTTTGAATTTTAAGATAAGAAGGAGAGAGATGGAATTTTGAGAGAGAGATGGAGTAATAGAGAGAGAAATAAAGTCATTTCATAAGTTGTTGAGATCAATAATATATGGTCGAGAGGGTTTAGGGGTTTGAAGATAGAAAAGATAAAGTCATATTTTTTATTTTTGATTTGATGGTTTAGGGGTCGGAAGATAGAAAAGATAAAGACATATTTTTTATTTTTGATTTGCCGAGATTAAAAAAAAAAAAAAAAAAAAAGTGGATATTTTCCCTTAAAAAAATAACTTCTAGTTTTCAAACAAAATGGATTTCAAAATTTTCTGCCTCCAAGCAGGACCGAACTACAGACCAGATCTTCAGTTTACAACAATGGTTTAAAAACCGGATCAGTGACCCGGATCGAGCTTTTCAAAAACCGATCCGGATCGGCGAATCGGCGATCCCGATCGGTGAATCGGCGGTCCGGATCGGAATCGGGTGAATCGGTCAGAATAAAGCTTCAAAAAAATCCGAAAAAATTATTAAAATTCATTATAAATATTGTTTTTTAGGAATTCAATAAAAAATGAGGGTACTCCATTAAGAATTTTCATGTTTTTTGATGAATATGCGAATATTGATATGTTCTTTCCCTGCATGAACCGCCATTCAGCATTTAATTTACATCACACAAAAAGATAAACATATAATTATCATGGAATAAGTATATCAACATACATGGACTACAATAAAGCATAAAATTAATAACATACGATCTAAAAATAAAATGATAGCCGACGTTGTTGTTCTTCTTGGTCACGCTGGTGCCATTGATTGAATTCGTTTGACAATTCATTGATTCGATCTAAAAACGAATCATCGATATTAGCGGGCGTCTGACTATTCCCAAATCCCTGAGTGTTAGTGTTTTGTTGTGTTCCCAGTCCAAAATCCCCGAAGCTTGTCCATCCTTCTTGCTCACCTGCACTGTCGTGCTCATCCCTACACTGTTGCTGTTGAGACTCGATATGTGAATAATATGGCTGGGATAGGGTGGCCTCAGAATCATCATCTCTCTCATTTTCTCTTAGACCCCCTTCCCACTCTCCCTCATTAGGTGCAATAA